AGGGTTAGGGTTAGGGTTAGGGTCATTAATGTGGGCCACCATAACATCAGTAACAGGTCAGTTTGAAACCAAAGACACTAACCTGTCAAAATTCAGTTACACTTTGGGGTCTTTGTTTTTATCCTTGTGGTATCGAAAATAGTATCGAGTATTGAGTATTTTCCTGAGTAGAATATATATTTTGGTTTGCCTGCTTTTTTCTCCAGCACAGCCTAAACCTTTTGACTGTCACAGTTTAAAAATAAATAAATAATAATGAATTAAAAAAAGAACCATACTGAATATGAAGGGAAGAAAAACTTTAAAGAGATTACAGAAAATCTGGAGAATTATTGCTAGAGACCACCAATAACTGAAACCCTAAAGAAAATGTGCTTAGACATTTTTAAATTCACTCTGAGGCTCTTCTTTTGTCCCTGTCCTTTGTATTTTTTACGAGTATATTCGGTGTGTTGTACATTTTATGTAGTTTGGTGTGAACATAAATTGGAATGGTATCGAGTATTTTCCTGAGTATCGGTATCGAGTTGATCATTTTAGGATCGTGAAAACCCTACCAAAAAAGACAAAAACAGCCCTACCGGCCACGTCCCGGCAGACGTCCTCCACCCCCCCGGTGTGGTCCCGGTGCCAGTGGGTCACCACGATCTCCTGGATGCTGGCGCCCAGCTGCCCCAGGGCGCTCCTCAGGGTGCTGATGTACTCGGGAACGGACGGTTCCCCGGCGTCTATCAGCACGCGTCTGGAAAAAGAGCCAAGTTTTACCCGAACTGTCTAATCTGCTGTGGTTAGCATTAGCTAGCATGTCAACATCCATCCAGCCATCTCTGGTTGGATGACCATCAATCTGCAATCTGGGAAAATACAAGGGATTCGTCATGGGGTCATCTAACCGGGAAACTCTGAGCCGAAACAACAAGGTGGACAAAGGAAAACTCAGCCAAAAAGCCCACCAGTCTTTTTGGGGCTAAATGGACAAAAAGAGTGAGAAAAAGCAACTTTTTCAGAATCAGAATCAGAAATACTTTAAATATACTTTAATAATCCCAGTTAATCCCAATTATTTTTGTTACTGGCTCCATAAATAAAACAACGGCATATACATATATACATGTTTTTGTGATTGTAGAGGTAATTCACTGCGTTTTATCTTTAAATAAAAGAAAAAAATCGTCCAAAATCCTCAGTTATGACACTGCTAACCCTCTGAGGTGGTTCAGAGTATTACACAGGGTCCAGCTCTTATGCATGAATTAAACTCTGTGTGTATGTTAGATTTCTTACAGCGGAGGTCTTATGGACATGTTTAAGCATCTGTGTTTCTGACTTTGGAGCAAAAATCTAATTTAATAATTTCACACATTACCATAAAAATGCCAAAAACGGAGTTGGTTCTACAAAAAAAAAAGAAAAGAGAAAAAAAAAAGGCAATATTTGGTTTGCCTGCTTTCTTCTCCAGCACAGCCTGAACCTTTTGACTGTCACAGTTTAAAAATAAATAAATAATAAGAAATTTAAAAAGGATCATACTGAATATGAAGGGAAGAGAAACTTTACACAAAGTACAGAAAATCTGGAGAATTATTATTAGAGACCACCAATAACTGAAACCGTGAAGAAAATGTGCTTAGACATTTTTAAATTCATTCTGAGGCTCTTCTTTTGTACCTGTCCTTTGTATTTTTCACGAGTATATTTGGTGTGTTGCACATTTGATGTAGTTTGGTGTGAACATAAATTGAAAGAGAAAGCCAACAAGGTGGTATTTCAATGATACTCTTAACGCCGAATTAATTATTCTATAACACTCTTTCAGGATCAACCGTAATTATGCAGATTTCTTAAAGGTAATTGTTTAATTACAAGGTGAATCTGTAATTTTAAAACTATTCGAATGGAATTCGGCGTAGCGTCACTTTTTTTCTCAGACGAGGCGCGTCAGGAAGGATTCCCTAAACGATTTAAACCGTCTGGAAGTCTTCATAAAACAGTTAAGAGGGAAGGACAAACAAGTGATTTGGCTGGAAAAATGACAAACGTTAAACAGAGATGACATAAGCCTGATCAGAGCGACCTTTCCCCGGTGCCGACCAGGTAGGTGTTGGTCCCCTGGAGGGTCATCGGCCCCGGGTTGCAGCCTAAAACACGAACCACTCGGGCAGAAAGCTGCTCTATCCGGGGGATGATGGCACTCATGGCTGGAAACGATGCGATCAAAGGAAAATAAAACACCCCTATGGAGGCACACGTCCAAAAACAGCCATTTGTTTATACCGGAAGAACACCGGAAGTCGGGGTGTTCACTTCCGGTTAATCCAAAACAGCCTTAGACACTAAAGCCCCTTCAAAAACCGGCACCTGTCGATTATTTATCAAGTTTTAGCTTATATACATGTCCGTTTATTTGTGATTTAACAAGCAGTTTCCAAAATAAACAGTTAACCATGTAACCCCTGTTCTTCTCAACATGTGTCATGTCCAGTTTAATTTTAATCCAAAACAGCCTTAGACACTAAAGCGCCTTCAAAAACCGTCACTTGATGAGTATTTATCAAGTTTTAGCTTATATATATCAGTTTATTTGTGATTTAACAAAAAGTTCCCAAAATAAACAGTTAACCATGTAACCCCTGCTCTTCTCAACATGTGTCATGTCCAGTTTAATTAGTCTAAAATAAGAGTTGAGTGATCAGAATGAAGCATTCTCTGTATTTGTTGTTCCCAGAAAATGTAAATATTATTTCCTTTGCTTGTTTAACTAAGCTAACAGATCTAATGTGGCAGCTTGAGGCTCCTCAGTCAGTGAGTGGGGGGATATTTTATAAAGCCCAACACTGGGTGGAGCCATTGCACTGCTTTGACCCCAAACTTCCCACAGAGCTTAAGAAAATTAGTTGTTTTTTTTGTGTTTATTTATTTTTTGGTTGAAAGATATTCTGATATTCAGGATACATTTAAACATTTAAACGTGTCATGAATCAGGCATATCCTCCATGAAAGGCTAATTTTCTTCATCTAAAACTATATAATTATCATTATCATTTTTACCATTATTACAATTACTGTCAATTTTTTAATTTATATATACATTTTTATGGGATTTGTTTGACCTTTCCTAACTTTTATTCGTCATTAATATGCATTTTAGAGTTAAATATGTAATAAAATATGTATATTTGATATAAAAGGAAATATATATTATACAGGTATGTATGTATGTATGTATGTATGTATGTATGTATGTATGTATGTGTTAGTGATTACATATATTAATATTCGTACATGTTAAATCATATATTTGTTTTACATTTATACCGTTTTTTAAATCTTTTCTTAAGGCTATAGAATAATCCTGCATAAATAGATTTCAGGCTGAAGTCCAGTTTCAAACTAGACAGCAGTTGTTGATTTTTTTTTCCTGCCGAATGTGAGAAATGACACATTTTCACGCCTATTTTTTGTTTATTTTTTTACCATTTTCTGATGAAATAATGACGAGCAGTCAGAACCCGGCTCTTCTGCTGGTGTAACTTCCATTTCACAGCTAAGTGTCGACATGTCGGAGACAAAAAACGGCCCGATTTGGTTCGGTTACTGAGCCCTGACACATTTCGGCCGTGTCCTCCATCCTAACTTCCAGACTCCACACAAACAGCTCTCCACTCTGAGTGGCAGCCTCCAAACGCTGTGACACTCACACGTGGGCGGAATGAGAAAAAAGAAAGTGCTGCACTGTAAACAATTATCTCACATCCTCGTGTTTTTAAAAAAAAAGGTCAATTCCATTTGCAAACACAGCTGCTGCCTGTATAAAATATGCACAGAAGCCTGTAATGCAATATACTGTAGAGCTGATGTATTTCCTTTGGGAGATGAGTTTGGCTGGTTTAAAGGGGACATTTTGTTTGGCTATCGACCACAATTGGGAGTGGGTCAGACCTCTGAACAGGGCCGGGTCACGTTTTCCTGAGCCATGGTTCTGCTCCAGGTTTCTGCCTGTTAAAAGGAAGTTTTTCCTTGCCTGTGTCGCCTAGTGCTTGCTCA